GCGTCCACAGACTGTTACGTGGGATCCGGTCATACGCTTTCTCTACGGCCACAGAACACATGTGCACCGGCTGGGCGTACTCCCACGATTTCTCAACAATCTGGCGCAGGGCAAACATATGGCCAGAGGTGCTTCGACCGGGCCGGAAGCCACATTGCTTTTCTATGATCTTGAGGTCAACTATTTCATGGCACCTCCTTTTCTAGTACTTTTGCGTAGACTTTACATGGGAGGCTCAAAAATGTTATGCCCCTATAATTGGAGCATTCATTGTGGTCTTCCTTCTTGAATACGGGTTCAATAACTCCTGTTCTCCAGTCCGCTGGTGTCTTTACCGCAGTGATCGCTGTTTGACAGACGCGCGTCAGCCATCATATACCTTATAGGGTCTACACTGTCAATATAATGGCCATCTGTTACCATGATTCCGACAGTTTGTCCAGGTCGGTAAGTGGAAATAGAGATCGCATAATTACAGGAGAGCTCGTTCAGGGATCCTGTTTGTTACCGATATGCTCAGATCATACACGCCCTGGTGTCGCTCATCTGATGGTACCACAAATGCTGAAGCATTCTGACAATTTTGCCCCATTGGCTTCAGTTCAATCCAGATCTCAGTTTTGTAGAGGTTCAGTGCAGCGTTTCATCGTCTTCATTCAGAAACTGGGAGACTGGATGAGCGGCAACGGCTTAGCGCTTAATCTAAAAAATGACATGGACCGGAATTTCCATCGTTCAAGACGTCTATGCTTGGCCTGTAGGAAGTTGCTTCACCAACTGTACAATTCAACAAAACTTGTAAATATCTATGGTAAAATATACGGAGGATGAGCAAGGGGTGGTTGCAGACTAGCCACGGTTGCCAAATACAGTGGTCAGGTTCAGTGTCGTGCAGACTGAGAAGGTTTAGCTTGGCAGAGAAGTACTCACAGACTGGATTAAGTGGAGCGGCTTTCGGGGCAGTGACCCAGTTGGTCATTGGGCTGCTTTGCATGCTAAAGTGTGGAAAAATGAAAAGAATGGCGTAAATTCTCTTATTAATTGCTATTTCTATTGAGCAAGGAATTCACTCCACTGTACTTCTGTGCAACCAGTCGCAAAACGGGTAGCAGGTCAATGAGCTGCAAACAGTTGGGATACCGTATGCATGTTTAATTGAGCCATACCTACCGTGACCCACCTGTAGCCTTGACTCACTTGATAAGTGGCTAAAAATCCACACAAGGTGAGAACGTACATTAAAGCAATTGAAATTAATTAAATGAGTTCCTATATTCTGCCACTTTTCCATAATTGCACCGGACTATTTTAGAAGTCTCTGGAAAAATTAACTACTTTGCCGATTCCGTAACTACTGTACTGACGAGTTTCAGTGCATCTTAGCCAAGAGCTTGAAAATGACAACTGTTAATTCTGCAGTTCCATTTCGACATACCCAATTCATACGCTGTAATAGGGCTTTTCAATAAGGCCTATCGAGCCTGCTAAGCACAAAATCTGTGTACATTCATTGCAGGCGCCGGACTGAGGTTTAAGGAGGAATACTCGTTTCTTTTGCTGTCCGGTGTTTGATATATTTTAAGAAAGAAGAACAGCAATTTGGTTTAACCTCTATGCAGCCGGATGTTGGTTCGCTTTCTGTTTGTTGCATCTGCCACATCAAGATTTTTGGAACTTGTCATGCACCTTAGGATTCACTTAAATTTAACCGACCGAATGCGACTGCATTTACCTCTCTGTATTCAAGAGATGGTTTCGACTGGTAAAGCTTTCAGTTAGAATGAGGCAGGCCGTACTGCTGCAGTCACTAGAGCGAAAGTTGATTTGTCGGAAAAACACGTAAAGGTTTTAAGTTCAATTTTCAGACAGAGAACAAAATATTCTGGAAGACCATCCGCCGCATATGAAATGGAAGTAAAGACAGTCTAAGAGTCCTGAACAATAGGTACACATGCCTTCTTACTGGGGAATAG